ATAACTGGTTCAGTTTAATAGAGGACACTTCCACCATACTCTTCTCATGATCAACTCTCATCCATGTCTCCAACGATTCTCTCTTAACACACATGGCAATCAGCACCCCTTTGATCATGGAGAATGAGACTAGAGGGGAGGGCAACAACGCTACTGAAGGTTTCATGACAAAGAAATAGTGATCTCCTCCTGTAGTGCTCGTGTCAAAGTGAGCAAATCTAAAGTCTTCAGACCACCGGTAGAAGGATCCCTCATCATAGGACGACACGGAATAACGGATTGTGCATGGGAAATTACAGTCGTTCCAGTCAATAAGCCTCCACTCATCGGTCATCGGCTGTACATCTCAGTGAAGTGTTCATACGCACCATCACTATCACCACTAGCATAATAATGATCGCCGTCATCATCATCATCATCATCAGGATGAATATATGCACATGACAAACAACAAATGACTTTGTAGTCATTCAATTGTGGACCGAAACAAAACCCAATACTCTCAACAATCGCGCCAAACTCATCGAAAGGATCATCAACCATAGTGGAAACGAAGAGTACTAAGTTTGAGAGATTTTAAGGTTCCACAAAGCCACATTGGAGATGTCGTTGCCGCCATGAGTGTCACTTAAGCAGAAGAGTCTCCTGCATTCCCCAAAGATTTCATAGCCTGGACCTAGAACAGAGTCCAAACGTTCCTCGGGCTTCTCGCCATCGATGAGACGGAGTGAACGGAAGGAGTGAAAAGAGTGAAGAGTGTGGTCGTTTTTCCAATGGCCGCCAAGATCCATCACTTGCAAAGATGAATGATATATTCGCAGAGTTGGATAAAGCCCTCCAGCAAATGTTGTCGCCGACACTTAGGGTCGATCGCATCTCTACTGTGGAAGGACTGTGGTCAATGGGAAAAGATCAAGCGCAGACACCCGTGGATAAGAGGAAGTCGTTGGAAGGTGTGGGTTTGGGATGGAAGACGGAGGACGACCGACGACATAAATGAAGGGAGCTATGTTGTAAGGGTGGCGGGGAGGGGTTACGGAGGGGGATTGCAACGTCGGTATGACCTTTTTGCTACGGCGCCGGGGGGAGGGGGTATCAAGCTAACCGATCCCCCATCAACGCCGCTGTCTTCATCATTGGTACTCTCGAGATGGTACAAGGAAAGCGAAGTCTTGGTTGCCCCTTCCTCTCATCTGCTGTTTTTGATGATCTTGCTCGCATTATGGCCCCTCCATTGCTCGTTTGGAGTCTTTCGGTTGATCCTGAACATTGTTGGCTTGCGTTTGACGAACATGCACATCCTCTAGCCATCGTTGTCGATGTAAAAGTCTTCTTTTGTCGTCTTCGCTAAATGCAGAAATTGTGACTGGGAAGATCATCTATGCCGCTTACCACGATGTTTCATTCCAACAAACCGACCAAATAAGCGTCCTGACTATACATGTTTTGCTCGAGAGGTCGATGCTTTCTTTCTTTATTTCTCGGTATACACCGGGAGAGAGCGAGTAGAAACAGAGGAGCGACTGGTTCTTATTTATAGAGAGTGGGGAATGGGTGCCATGGGGGTTAAGGCAATGGTTCTGTGTCCGATAAAGAAACAAACTATAATCGGGCTTTTCTCACTTATTTTTGTTTTCATTTTGGTCAAAGGCCCATTTCGACAAGCTCTCAGACTACCGGCCGGAAAACACTTTATGCCGCTTACCGCGATGTTTCGTTCCAACAAACCGACCAAATAAGCGTCCTGACTATACATGTTTTGCTCGAGAGGTCGATGCTTTCTTTCTTTCTTTCTTTATTTCTCGGTATACACCGGGAGAGAGCAAGTAGAAACAGAGGAGCGACTGGTTCTTATTTATAGAGAGTGGGGAATGGGTGCCGTGGGGGTTAAGGCAATGGTTCTGTGTCCGATAAAGAAACAAACTATAATCGGGCTTTTTCTCGCTTATTTTTGTTTTCATTTTGGTCAAAGGCCCATTTCGACAAGCTCTCAGACTACCGGCCGGAAAACACTTTAAGCCCACTTTGTGGCTGTTGGTTTTAACTAAAACAAATAACTAATCCACAATTAGTTAATTACACAAAAATTTGAGACTGCTTGGATTAATGGGGTGTTTTAGCTCCAGTTGGGTTAAAATGGCTTGGCTATGTTAGGCAATTAAGAACTATGGGGGTCAGTCTGTTTATTTAGTTGAGTTATCACACTAAGTTGAACAAAATCCTGACAAAAACATGATGATTATTATGTTAATTATTCTAAATTTAAACACAAAATAGAGGATCTAATTTAGTGGTAAATCATTTTAGGGGCCAACGACTCAACAAGTGTTCATACCGAACTTTGAGTCGTTCGATTTGTCGAGATCAACATATATGATTCATCCAAATTAATAAAAATGAAGGTCATATAGGCGTTCTTAATTGGTTCTAAGGTAAGGGGATAAAGGCTTTATGGTGTTTCTAAGTAATGTGAGTTTGGAGGGGGTGGATTAATGAGTTTATTTTAGCTCGGGTATGAATTCAAATGGCTTGCTACGTCAACTTTTTTAGAATTATGTAGTTTGTTCATTTATTTGAATTGTCATACTAAGTTTAACGAAATTCTAACTGAAATATATACGATGACAATTAGTTATGTTACCGATTCTTTAAATTGAGTTGTCATAATAGGCTGGAGTTGGACGAATCCCGATAGAAACAGACACAATGAATATTATGCTAGTTATTACAAACTTGAGTTATAATTGACAAAAATTACCGCATCAGATTTATTGGTAACTCATTTTACTTTATTCACACTTATGATAGATAGCTGCCAAGGTCAAAATCCTTCTTCCAAGTCAGTGTGATCTAGTGCAAGATCTTGAGCCTAAAACCCAATGAAACTAACTGACAATAGAATATGAAAATATCATTTGCTAGAAGATTGCATATCTCGGCAAATGCAAAGTCAAATCTTAACATTTTAGCTTATAATAATCACTAGTGTGATAGTTAGGAAAAGGAAAGGGAAGGGTAGGAAGGTTTATGATGATAACCATGAGCATGGTGTTGGGATGGAATGTGTTTCTCCAAGTAAGCAACTAAAAAAAAGTTTGTTTATGTAGTTTTTCCACAAATGTCACAAACTTCACAATCATTTCGAAGATGAATTTTTCTTTCATTATCATTTTAATATACATAAAGAATTCAGTTATGAGTCTTAGAATCGGATATCTTCAAGCGCACTAAAAAATGTATGATTTTGAGTTTTTATAAGGTTAATTTTGGGATTTCTGATTATTGAGACGGTGTATTTGAATCGTAGTTGTTAGTTAAGATTACTTATATAATGTAAGCTTGTCTTTCTTTATACTTTTCTCACAATCACACTTTCAAAAGTTGTGTATTTTTACAATTAATTGAATCCTTAAAATGGCTCCGCATCATCTCCCCCAAAGCTACATATATACTAAGAATCATGGGTTCAAAAAGTCCCCAAATCATCTCCCCTATCTGCCATGGATGATACTACTCTAGGTCACAACAAGCTCCAAAGTTGACTTTGGTGCTGTTCCCAACTCAACCTTAACCATAGGGCACAAGTTGACCTAGTTGCAGCTAGCCCAAAAAAGGCTATGCTCACTAGGGCAAACTTGATAACAATGGTTTAGGCAAGCTCCAATCATGTACACAGACCAAAAGTAGGCAGAAAGGGGAACTTCAATAGTGGAGGGTTCTGTGAAAACCAGCACAGCATGCTGCTGAGCTCAAAATTGCAGGTGGCTGTGTGGGTTTTCAGGAGTGAAGTGGACAGTTAAAAGAGAAACAGAGAGAGAGAGAGATTGGTCTCTCAGCCATGGATGGCTTGTGGTTGGTTTTTGCATGCTTAGTTGAACCATGATTCAGACATCACCAAGCTGCTAAAATATTGTGTTTATTGGAGAGACATCAGCAAAGAGGAAAAAGCCAATGGTTTGGTTGGCTGATTGAGGTTTTCTTATAGGGTTTTAATCAACTGATAAAGGAGGGGAATGTTTGTAGGAATAAAGAACTCAATTGGACGGTGTAAAAGGTGACCATCTTTTGGTATATGGTTAGGCAGAAATATTATGGTATCAAAATCTTATCTAATGAAGCTTGTGAAAATGACATTGCAAGTGTAACCCATTGCCTTTGGCAAAAGATTAAGGAGTTAGGTGGGGGGTGAAGATGCATGATCCAACTAGTAAGTTCCAAAATGTAAAATTTTTGTTATTATAATGGAATATTAGAAGAATATTTGACGTGTTAGAATGCCGATAAATGAGGTATTTTCAAGTTTTGTTGATATAATGTTGGAGGGTTGTGTGAGAAGTTTGGTCATGAAAAATGAATATATACTTTGTATTTTTAGTTAGGATTAAACCTGATAATATTTGATCAGATTTATATTTGGATTGGAAGGGATCCTGCTTTGGTTCTCTATGAATTATCTTGAGCACAAAGTGAATGACGCATATGATTGAAATTGATTATTATGTTTTTCGTAAATAAAGATTAATTTTTATATTTTCGGGGTAGGGCGAGATTGAATTAGAATTTATGTTTGTTTTATCAGGTATATAATCCTCATTTTTCCTTCATTTTTTTATTATGTACTTACTTGATCAATATGATTCTCAAACGATCCAAATTCTCCTCACCCTCAAATGTAACTCAAGAAAAATCATGATAAAAAGCAATCGATTCGTACTAACATGACACAAATAATAAACCACTTTCATGTTATGTCTTGTGTGTTGTTACTCATTTTCCCTCACGCACTTTTCTTCTTGATAAACAATTTCGGAACCCAAATCATCGAACAATGTCCTATTCTGCATATTTACAGCAAATGTAACACTCAGACAAAATTGATGGTGGAATCGCTCTAGTGGAACTTGGGACGAACAACAATGAAACAAATAAATTACATCACATCACAAGACTTTTTTAGAGGAACTTTTCATAAGGTAACTGGACTTTTTTCAGAGGAAACTTCATAAGTTAACTGGTGCTTTGATCGATGATGCAGCAGCATCAAGTTTAGATTGTGTAGCCTGAATCAGCAACGAAGGAGGACTAGTGACATAGTCCTTCAGCTTACCCATCTCATGGGCTACATCCACCATGGTTGGCCTTGTTGAAGGGTTGTATTGGGTGCACATCAGACCCAAATCGATCATCTCCAGGATTGCATCTTCCCAAACCGAGTTCAGAGATGAAGGCAACGCCATTGCCGCGTATCGAAGGATCGCCTGCTCAACAATGGGGCTGAGCTTGTGTGGGTACTGGCTCTTCACCCATTCATGCAAGTTTGAACCTTCATGGAAGAGAACATCAGTTGGCCTCCTTCCTGTGATGATTTCTAGTAACAGAACTCCAAAGCTGTACACATCTCCTTGGGTTGAAGCCTGCTTCCCCATTCCATACTCTGGTAGTTTGAATTTTGACATCAAAATGGGAGAAATTAGTTCTATGGTGAAATGTGATTCAATGAAAAGTTCTATGGTGATCAATTCAATCCATACCAGGAGCTATGTAGCCGAGCGAACCACACAACAGTCCATCAGTCGACTCGAATGAAACCGAATCATCAACCAACTTCAGCTCATCAACACCATTAACCAGCTTGGATATCCCAAAATCAGTGACCAAAGCGGTCATATCATCATCCAGAAGGATGTTACTAGGCTTGAGATCACAGTGCACAACTCTAACGAGTGAGTGATGGTGCAGGTAAGCCACCCCTTCTGCGACATCCCGACAGATCCCAATCAACTGCACCAAACTTAAACCAGGATTCAAACCATGGCTGGGGTACAGATGCCTCTCCAGGCTACCATTCGTCATCAGAGGGAAAACCAAAGCATTAAAACCCGGTCTGCTGCACGTCGTAATGATCCTGATCAAATTCCTGTGCCTCGTTCTTCTCAGGACTTGGCATTCCCTCTTAAAGCTTCCTCCTTTGATTTCCCCTGCTGTCTTTGAATCCAAAACCTTGACAGCTATCCTTGTGTTATCCTGAAGAACTCCCTTGTAGACCTGACCAAACCTGCCCGAACCGATCAGGGTTGATGGGTTGAACCCTCCGGTTGCTTGGATGAGTTGCTTGTATGAGATTCTTGGGTACTTGTGATCATTCTTCTTCCCTTTCTCCTCATCATAGTCCATATCATCCTGTCGACTGAATATGCCCAGCTGACTTCTGAGCTTGGACTTGGAAATGGACCGGTAGACGAATAGGCATAGGGAGAAGACAGCAAATAGTGAGACAATGAGAGGCATGGTGATGGAGTTATAGGGATGCTTCTTCTTCTTGCAGCTGTGCATTCCTTTGATTGTGCCACAGAGAGCTTGATTTCCCATGAAGGATTCCATGGTTAAGGAGGAGAAGCTTCCGTTGTTCGATATGTTGCCCGAGAACATGTTGAAAGAGAAGTTGAGTTGCTTGAGGGTTAGAGATGTCTGCAGTGTCTGTGGGATTGAACCATTTAACTGGTTTGAAGAGACATCCAGTGATTTCAGGTAAGGCAGCTTCCCTATAGAAGCAGGAAGAGGACCTTCAATGGAGTTTCCTGAAAGGTTCAGAAACTCCAGAGCAATGCAGCTTCCAAGCTGCGACGGAATCGTGCCAGAGAGATTGTTCGACGACAGATCAATAGCTAGCACCATATCCATCTTACTCAGCTCCAACGGCAGAGCCCCGTCCAGATAATTCCCGGACAAATTCAAGTACAGCTTCAGGCTCCTCAACCCAGCAACTTCACCAGGAATCACCCCAGAGATCTCATTCCTCGACAAATCCAGAATCTCCAGATTTACACATTCACCCAAACTCCTAGGAATAGTGCCCGACAGCCTGTTCTCATAAAGCAGCAGCCTTCTCAGCTGAGAAAGGTTTGCAAAGCTGTCAGGAATCGAACCTGACAGCTCATTCTTCGACAGGTCGAGGAGACCCAAATGAGGCAAGTTACCAAACTCCGCTGGGATCTCGCCATAGATCGAATTATTCGAGAGATAGAGCCGCTCGAGCTTCGCCATTCGACAAAGCTCCAATGGAATCGTGCCGTTGAGAAGGTTAGCTGAAAGGTTCAGGAGTGTTAAATTGAGAAGGTTGGAAATTTGAGGTGGGATTGGACCGTAGAGAAGGTTCTGATCCAAGTGAATCTGTACAAGGTTGGTCGAGAGATCGCCAATAATAGGAGGGATCTCTCCGCCGAGACCATTCCCAGCCAGCTCGAGCTCTTGCAAGTTTTCAGCACGAACTAAAGCAGACAGAAATGGCGAAAGATTGGTGTTTCCATCCTGAGTGACGAACTTGTTGTAGGAGAGATACAGAAACTGCAGTTTAGGCATCTTGCTTACAATCTCTGACGGCAATTCCCCTGTAAGGTTATTCGATTCCACGTCCAGCCATTCGAGGTCTGACGATTTGGACAGCGACGGAGGAATGGTCCCCACGAGCTTGTTAGACCAAAGTAGTAGGAACCTCAACCGAGTAAGCTCACAGCCATGGCCCTTCAGAGGGATTTCTCCTGACAACGAATTGTTGGAGAGGTCGACATACTCCAGAGCCGAAGACCCGTTGCAGAAAAGTGGTTGAGGAATTTCGTCGAACAGCTTGTTGCTGCCCAAATCGAGGTATACGAGCTCCCTGAGAAACCCTAACTCCGGAGGGATCCCGCCATCCAGCAAGTTCCACGACAGGCTCAGCTGCTTGAGATGGGGAATCCGGCCCAGCTGCCATGGAATCCTGCCTCGAAAGAAGTTGTGAGACAGATCAAGGACCAACAGAGAGGAAATGTTGGACAGAGAAGCAGAAATCGTGCCGTGGAGTGACATTCCACTGAGATCAATCTGCACGATTTGGCGGGAATTTCCGCCATTGTTGCTGCACTCCACTCCAGTCCAGTTGCAGACGGGTAAAGCAGAGGAACTTCCCCAGCTCGCCAGGCGGTCTACAGGGTGCGAACTGACGACGCCGGACTTGAACTCCAGCAGGGCAGCTCGCTCGTTCGAAAGCTCGGAACTTTCGTCGCCGGCGACCAGAAATAAGACAAGGGTTAAACAGAGGAAGAATTGGCGGCAACCCATTTGGTTAATCTTTTGTGGGGACTCAGAAAGGATCGAACTTTGCAGATTGGTCGCTGCAGTTCATTGATTTGGTTTGGTTGAAGCAAAAGATGAACTTTGGGGCAAATTTTTGAGTTACTATTATAAGAAAACCAGATACATTGTTACAAGCAGGAAAATGGTAATAATAAATATAATTAATTAATGTTTATCTTGTTATAATATTGATTTTGCGCCTAACTACCGTTTGAATATGGATAAACGGAAAATGTTATGGATTTGGACACAATTTATGTTAGGACGTGGTTGGCTAGATATGGAATTTGGTAACCCTTTGCAAACCAGAAGAATATGAGCCAAGTATATATCCTGGTTCGGGATTATCGTAAAGTCTCTTCGTATTGTAAACGATTTTGTGTTTCACTTACTTGATAATAGTTCTTATTTTTCAAATCTTGAATAGAACATGTGTTCGATGATAATTAAGTGAGTGTCGTGCAGTTTGGTGTTGTATAACTATGAGCGGGTTTTAAGAATAGAGAAATATGCGACTTAATGTATTACATAAGTATATAAATGTATAGGTACGATATCCTTATACAAAATTGACGTATTCAACATATCACAAGAAACCGTTTCTTGAGATTGCGACGAGGGAAGTTGATGAGATGGGAGGAGATGGTGGTGTTGCATGTCAGCAACTCATGCCTAACAAAATTTGATTTAGGGGTAGAATTAAGAAATAAAGGGTGGGATTAGTGGACTTGTGAGTTGTTAAGGGAAGAAATATAATAATAAGATGATAAGGTAAGTTAATGGAGTGTGACAAGTATAAATGGGAAGGTTGTGACATTAGGTGGTTGAAATACGTAAATATTGGTATACCTAAGGTACATTTTTACTAATACGGTGTATAGTATAAAGTAAATATGGTTTTGTTATAAGTTACTTAAGGGGTCGTTTGGAAGTTGTGATTGTTAGAGTTGTGTTTGTTGAATACATGTATTGTGCATAATACAATGTTTGGAAGAGCCAAAGTGTAAAACAATGCATGCATTGTTTTAGGTAGGTCCCACCAACAATCACAAAAAATGATGCATTATACAATCTCAACTAAAAGTTGAGATTGTTGGTTTTAGATTTGTGTCAACTTTTTCTTTCCATTTATATCCCTAATAGTTTTTGTCTTATTCTAAAAGTTGAGGGTAAATATGACATTTCCCCATAAATGTAACTTTATGTAAATCAATGCATAAAGTAGAATCTCAACAACCAAACAATGTATTGTTAAAATGCATTCATTGTATCAATACATGCATTTATATTATGGTGATTCATTACAATGCAACGATTTAACATTCGCAACTTCCAAACGACCCCTATTTTATCTATGATATCATTTGAAATTATGGCTCTAATACAATTAGAATAGAAATTCTTATTTTATTGTATGTTACTTGGAGATTGACCATCAATAGTATTGATTAAGTGCCGCAAATAATCGCATTAAATAATAAATAACGAGCTTATATTTCAGTAAAAAGAATCAAACTTCTGACCTAACAGTTTAGTCACTAAAAACACTTTGGTCAAGGCATAGTGCAACAACAAACATGAACATAATCTTTCTTGCCAAAAGATCATTCAATTTAGAGATGAAAAAGATTCATATACAAACGGTTTACAATAACCGTAACCATGATTCAAAGTCGAACCTTTTGAAACATTGGCGACAAAAATAGAGAATTTCTAACTATCAAATAAGCTTCCTATAAACATGAACAAAATCCGAACGGATAAATTGCAAGTTTGGTCACTGGAATTACTAAAAAAATTCACGTTTGCCACCAGAATTAGTTTATTCCATTCATGGTCACTAAGATTAGTTCAACAGTTCAAGTTTGGTCACTCTCCGTTAACTTTATCTGACGTGGCAGTCAACTCTAAAAGTTGACCGTTAAATAAGTGACGTGGCAATTTAAAAAAATAAAATTTACACTTTATAATTTCCACGTCATTATCACTATAAATTATAAAAAAATAAAATCTGAAAATTATAATTATAATTCCGCTCGACGTCACTGACCGCTTTCTCCGATTCCACATCTGCGACTCGGGAAGCTCGAGTCTAACCAAGCTTTCTGTTCATAACCAACGCTGCCTTCTCCATCGCTCTACCTTCACCTCCATGAAAAAATTCCGGCAGATTCGACATGGTTTTCCCTCTCTGGTCCAATTACATGTTCGATTACGACACTCAACGAGACGCTAGCAGAGTAATTGACCGGGTCTCGGAGTTCATCGGGAAGGAGGTCGTCCCCGTCGGCCCGCTCGTGCGAGATGACTCCGACTCCGACAATAAAGTGGTGAAATGGCTGAACGAAAAAGACCCCTCGACGGCCGTGGCGTACATTTCATTCGGGAGTGAGTCGTATCTATCGGCAGGGAGAGGGAGGAACTAGGCCAGGCTCTGCTGATTCTGGTGACGAAAGGGCTGAATTTCATATGGGTTCTGAGGTTTTCGGAAGGGGAAGAGAAATGTCCGGCGGAAGCGCTGCCGGAAGGTTTCCTGGAGGCGGTGGGGGAGAGAGAATACGTGGCGGTGGTTTGGGCTCCGTAGCAGAGGATATTGAGGCACCGGAGGGTGGGCGGGTTCGTCAGCCACTGCGGGTTGAGCTCGGTATCGGAAGGGATGAAGTACGGAGTGCCGATGGTGGCGATGCCGCTGCAGAACGACCAGGGGACGAATGTGAGGTTGGTTGAGGAAGTTGGGGTCGAGATGAAGGGTTGATCGGATTGACAGGGGAGAGGTGGCGAGGGTGATTGAGCATGAGCAAGTTGTGGTGCAGAAATTGGTAGCGAAATTAGGGATAAGACAAGGTAGATTAGGGATTGTTTGGTGGAGAACGGGGATGGACTCAAGCTTCCTAAGTCGCAATGTGGAATGGAGAAGTCGGTGGTGGTCGAATTATAATTATAATTTTTAGGTTTTATTTATTTTTTATTTTATTGTGATAATGATGTGGAAATTATAAAAAAAAATATTTTTTATTTTTTTAAATTTCCACGTCACTTATTTAATGGTCAACTTTCAGAGTTGACTGCCACGTCAGATAAAGTTAACGGAGACTAACGGAGAGTAACCAAACTTGAACTGTTGAACTAATCTTAGTGACCATGAATGGAATAAACTAATTTTAGTGGCAAACATGAAATTTTTTAGTAATTCCAGTGACCAAACTTGCAATTTAGCCAAATCCGAACAGTCCGCTTTGAAGATGGTCCAGCCCATTTTTCACTGTGAGGCCCAAACCATAAATTTCAGTAAAGCCCACAACTCCTCAGTCAGATTCCCAAAACCAAAAATTACACAGAATTCCAACCGGGAAAAAACAAACCTAAACCAGCTTTCCCTCGCTTGCCTCGTTCTAGCCGGCGCTCACGGAGCAACCCTAGCCGCCGCCGCCCGCCGCGCCGTCGTCGTCAGCCACTCCACTCTCCGGTCACCGCTGCCTCTCATATGTACCGTCAGATCTTCTCTATCTCTCTCATTTTCCGTTTGTACCTTTCCTATGAATCACAAAGGGTTTATGAATTGGCTTGATATCCTAAACTATTCGCAGTCCTTTGTTTCTCTATCGAATGCATGGCTCCTCTGCTTGTTGGTCTTTGAATTGTTTCAAGCAAGCTCGGTGGCGATTTGATGGATCTTTCAACTTTGATTGAACGACTGAGGATGAGAATTACTAAGAACTGTTCTGTTTAGGATATCAATTTGAAACCTTTTTTGTTCTGCAGAAAATCATCATGACGGCTGTCAATGCTGAGTTAACCCGAGCGATTGGAGCAGCCATTAGGCCATCTTCGAGAAAAATCGATTTCTCCCATCGAGCTGTAGATAGGTGTGCGTTTAATCCTTCCTTCGAGCGACGCTCACTCCAAGCAGTAGGAGTTACTGGTGCAGCTAAAAACAGAGCCTTTGCCATGGGAAATGGAAGTGGGAGCGTAGATGGGTCTAGTGGCGGGCTGACTTACAAGGATGCCGGTGTAGATATCGACGCTGGGACCGAACTCGTGAGGAGGATTGCTAAGATGGCCCCTGGAATTGGTGGTTTCGGTGGTCTGTTCCCCCTCGGTAAGGATGATTTGTTGTCATCAATAGAGCTAGCTTTACATGTGATTGATTCTCTTCAGCCGCATTAAGTTTGTTTCTGATAGTTTGAGTGCTGATGGTGTTTTACAGGGGATTCATATCTTGTTGCTGGTACAGATGGAGTGGGTACCAAATTGAAACTTGCTTTCGAGACAGGAATCCATGACACTATTGGCATTGATTTGGTAAACCTTTGAGTGAACCCATTTCACTGTTTGATTAAGGGTAATGGTGGTTTAACTGACTCCGTGGCTTCTGCCCTATTACAGGTTGCAATGAGTGTCAATGATATAGTCACTTCAGGTGCAAAACCTCTCTTCTTTCTTGATTACTTCGCAACTAGTCATCTTGATGTCGACCTGGCTGAAAAGGTAGCTATTAAGCTTTACTTAAACATTCATCTGATTTACCTGAAACGTTGCTGCGGATAAATAAAAGTGTTTCCTTTTTGAGTCTGGGGTAGGTTATTAGAGGCATTGTGGATGGCTGCCAACAATCTGATTGCGCGCTATTGGGAGGAGAGGTGAACTAAAGCCTATCTAGCTCTTGTTGGTTGAGCTATTGTGGGTGACATGAACCAACGAGCCTTTTGTGTTTCAGACTGCAGAGATGCCAGATTTCTATGCAGAGGGTGAATATGATCTCAGTGGTTTTGCAGTCGGCATTGTTAAGAAGGAGTTGGTCATTGATGGGAATAACATTGTAGCTGGGGATGTTTTGATCGGATTACCATCTAGCGGAGTCCATTCTAATGGGTTTTCTCTTGTCAGAAGGTTGTCAATGATTTAGGAATGCTTATAAACTTTCGAGCCAATGTTTCCCTGGATAACATTTTCTAATAAGATATGTCCTCTTTGAACAGGGTGTTAGATCGAAGTGGTCTTTCTCTGAAGAACCAACTTCCTGGAAATGACCTTACTTTAGGTGAGGCTCTAATGGCCCCTACTGTCATATATGTCAAGCAGGTAACTTTGTTCTCTCTCTCTCGTCCCTTCTCGAATGTGCACACTTACATTTCCTATACTGATATGCTATATTCAAAATATACATACAGGTGCTGGACATAGTTGGCAAGGGAGGTGTAAAGGGCATTGCCCACATTACAGGAGGCGGTTTTACAGATAACATACCGAGAGTATTCCCCAAAGGTCTCGGAGCTGCTATTTACAACAACTCCTGGGAAGCCCCACCCGTCTTTAAATGGATCCAAGAGGTAAGATCTAGTCCCGCAAATCCATTTCTCGAAACCTTTATACCCATTTTAGGTCTCCTTTTGGTCTCCTCTTTGCTCTCTCATCATGGCCTGCTCGTTTCAAACAGGCTGGAAACATAGAAGACGCAGAGATGAGACGAACATTCAACATGGGCATCGGGATGGTCCTAGTGGTGCCTAAGGAAGTAGGAAGAAGAATCGTCGAGGATGGAGAACACAAGGCGTGCCTAATTGGCGAGGTCGTAGGGACCGAAGGAGTAAGCTATTTATAACCGCCGGTGATAAACTCTTCGAGATTCCCTTCCACCTTGGATTCAGTTTCTTCCTTTCGAGTGGTTTCTGAAACGGGACCAAGATACCAAGAAGTTGCAGGCTGTTCGTGTGCTTTGCTCGTACCTGAGGGGAATGCTCAATGATGTGTAGGGTAGCTAGATCTCCTTCACCTAGAATTTTGCATGTAGCTCAACGGGAGAGTTTCTGACTTTCTGTAACAAGTCTTGAGGGGTAGAATGTTATAATTCTGGTTTTTGTAACTGTACCTGAGGTCCTATCGAAGGAATGAGTTTTTAATGATGCAATTGTGGTTCAAAATAAGAATTGCCGCCAAAAGAGAGAAGAAGAAGTTGTACCATTTGTAATTAAGGCTTGATGAAATCATTATCATAAACTGAAAAATTCTGAAACAATATCCTACAAATTTAAACATATTACAATCGAAAGATCCCTTCAAATTCTTTTCATATCCCCTGATTCCTCTTCTAAATTGTTTGTTGCTTTCCGACCAGGACATAAAGGGCGTATACCATACCAGGAATGTATCCAAACATGGTCAGCAACAAGTCTATCCAGAATTCCACCTGCATCATCCCATTAGATACATTTTCAAACGTGAGATCATCGAAGAATCGAGACAGATGACACGAATGTACGAAAATGATAAGGATGTTGTCGACTCGAACGTTAAGCAAACATATATAGAGCATTAAGAGAATTAGAGAAGGAACGAATAGCGAAATGAGTCAAACTTACGCACCCCACAGCCAAAACGAAGGAAGACGCCAACCGGTGGTATCAAAATGGCCAATATCACCTCTAGGAATGTCATTGAACCCATTCTCGCCGGTTTCTGTGTTATGTTCTTTGCTAAGGTGAACGATATTTTGTGCTATTAAATCTGTTATACGGAGATGATGTAATGAACTTCTTGACCTATAAGAACAAGAAAGATGAGAGGTAAAGCATGAGGGAGGGTAGGAAGGAATGATGGAGGGAGGGAGGGAAGAAAGATAGCCAAAACCTCTCATTCTATGTGACATTGTAGATTGATAATATAGATTGTGATGGTGTTTTCCTTTTAAAATAGATTGTGTTGTCACGATTGTGTTTGTTGCGATACTATTTTGTGTTTTCACGTTTACTTAGTATGCTTTAGAAAATTTCTCGACGCTTCCTTAATAGGTTCATTATAAATGATTCTTTCGGTTATAATATTGTCTATTTCGTGATATTGCGTTACACGTTTGTTCTACCATATAAAAATTTTTAGGATCGAGAAGGCCTTTGAGAATGGTACTACTACATGACGTCTACCTTCTTTATTGTAATTTTTTAAATGTAATTTTTTTTAATTGACCAAATTATGGGACCAGAAAAGTAAATTTGAATACTGTAGAGGATTGATTGAGAAAAGTGTACAATTTGGGGGATAAAAAATAAATTGACCCTTTTAAAACGAATATCTTATCTTTCAGCGAAGAAAGAAACAACAAAGTAGCAGCTCTCCTGCCGGCAAGTGCCAATGGCAGAATCTGAGGTTTAACAGAGGGTTCTCTCGTAGGCCGTACTGTTCTTCGACACCCTCTCCCCTTTTCCCTTCACTCTCTCTTATCACCCACAAAGCGGAAACAAGTAATGGCTTCCACAGCGCCATTCTCAACTACATCTCAAATTCAGTACTCGGCATGGCCATCAAAACCCCCATCCAAATCCTCAAAACCCCACAAAAACCTTCACTTCCTCTCCAACCAAGCTCCCCTCACTCCTCTCTCAGCTTCCTCATCTTCCTCTTCTTCATCCTCGTTCCCGGCTTCCCTCAATCCCAAATCCTCCAGGAATCTACATCTATTCAACCCATTAAACGATTCCAGCCACGACCATCTCCTCGAAGACCGCCAGTCACTCGAGAATCTCATGAATTTGGAATTGCGGGAAAGTGATCAAATTGAAGGGGGGAAAGATGAAAAGAGAGTGTTCATCCAAGACCCACCATGGATTTCAGCTCTGTTCCTGAAAGGTATGCAGAAATTAGCTCATCGGGAAGTGAGAGTGGCGTTCAAGGATATCGAGAAGAGGAAGTATAATTTGCTGAGGAGGAGGCAGATTAAGTATGAGACGGAGGCTTGGGAAGGAATGGCGGAGGAGTATAGGGGAATGGTTAGGGAGATGTGTGAGAAGAAGCTCGCGCCTAATTTGCCTTACGTCAAAGGTTTGTTCTTGGGATGGTTTGAACCGTTGAAGGAAGCTATTGAGAAGGAGCAGAAGTTGCAGAGGGGGAAGAAACATAAGACTGCTTTTTCGCCGCAGATTGAATCGTTGCCCGCGGATAAAATGGCGCTCATTGTTATGCATAAGATGATGGGGTTGCTGATGGTGGGGCATGAAGATGGGTGTATTCAGGTTGTTCAGGCTGCTGTACAAATTGGGATTGCCATCGAGCAGGAGGTAGGGTCCTTGTTCTGGGATTCCAGCTTCGACTAATACCATTTGCATTTTTGAATGAATAGATGCCTGTTGTATGTTTGATGGTTGAAGGCTTGAAGAAGTGAGTTTGAGGCGAGTTTTGGCTTTCTAGGACTGAAAAGTGTAATGCTTTTACTCATGTCATGTATAGTATGATAGAAGTGTTTTGAATTTTGATCCCCTGATCATAGGGTCCATATTTGATTAACAGAAGATTCCTACTAATGAGTAATGGCACATACTAATAATGACTTTTCAAGTTCTTGTTGTTAGATAGTGAGTAAGCTGTGTCTGTTTTGTGTAATTTCAGGTCAGGGTTCACAATTTCTTGGAGAAGGCCAAGAAGTACCAGAGGAACAGGACAGCTACTGATGATGAAGATGGCCAAAGAGTAGAGAACGAGATACTTAGAAAACGTCTTAATAGCTTGATTAGGAGGAAAAAGCATGTGGAGGTGCAGAAGCTGGTGAAAAGCGATGAAATCAAACCTTGGGGACGAGATATACAGGCTAAGGTATGCTTCTTCTTCATCTTATTTATGTTCTTCCCCCTGAATGATCTGTTTGAATTCACTTCCCTATCGAGCCTTTATGACAGTTTAAGTTGCGAGTAGGACTTATTTTTGCCTGTCATGTTGCCTTTTTTTACGCATGTCTTGTTTGTGCAGCTGGGAAGTCGGCTCATACACCTCTTGACTGAGACAGCTTTTATACAAGCTCCAGTTGACCAGTTGTCAGATGCTCCACCAGATGTGCGACCTGCCTTTAGACATAGGTTCAAAAATTTGCCAAGGAGCCCAGGGTGAGAATCCTTATGTACTTTGCACGACCATCTACCAATCCATTTTGAAAAAGTTCATCGAAATGATCTTCTCTGATGTCCATGAATTAATCATTGTAGGCAAAAGATTATGAAGAGATATGGTGTTGTAGAGTGTGATCCGCTCATTCTTGCAGGGCTTGATGGATCTGTGAGTAAGATGACATTTCTGTTACTGAATGGTTGATTCTTGTACAGATCTTCTGAATGTGTTTATTTCTATGAATAGTGGCCAAAAGCCACTTCCATTAATAAACCCCACCAGTAGATGGTAGTTGAACTACTGCATTTGGTGAAGCACTTATAACCGTGTTTTCATTTGTATAAGACAATTTGCTCTAGAGTTCTCTATTATGGGTTTCTACTTCCCGGCTGTCAAATTCGGAGGCAATCTTGAATTACCAGGTCCTTGGCTGGTACCTTCTCTGTCACTCAAACTAATACACCATGCTTGTCATAATTCAGGCGAAGCATATGTTGGTTCCTTATTTTCCCATGCTGATTCCTCCCAAGAAATGGAGAAGGTATGTCTGGAACAGTTGTGATAATTGGTACAATATTGCAAATTATCTCACGGGTGGCTTATTCTTAACATGGTGTTTGTTGTTTCATTATGTAAGTCAAACACATTTACAGTGATATGTTTGTGATCTTCTTGCAGTCATGACAAAGGCGGGCATTTGTTCTTGCCTTCTTATGTCATGCGCACTCATGGATCAAGGAAGCAACAGGAGGCTCTTAAGGGGGTGCCGAGAAACCAAATGCAAAGAGTATTTGAGGTTAGAATCATTATCTTCTTTATGTTTTGGTTTAAATAGTTCTTTATTTCTCAGAGGTAAATAATCTTTGGACGAGTACCAAACTGAAGGACTAACAACATTTGTAATCATTGAAGTCTAGGTCCACCAATCAATCGATTCTACCATTGGATGTATTCTGCTACTTTTTACTAGTAGTATTTTGTGCTTTCTTATGTGGAACTTTGATGTTATTGGTTCATCAACAGGCCCTGGATACACTTGGTAACACGAAGTGGAGGGTGAACAGACAAGTACTTGATGTGGTAGAGACCATTTGGGAAAATGGTGGCAACATTGCAGGGTTGGTGGACCGGGCAGATGTGAGCTTCCTTGAACTTCCTTACTGTTGAAAACTAGTGATGGTGAAATGATTTATTGCTGCCTACTTAATGTCAGCAGCCATCAACTTCCTCAAAAGTTGGTCATCAATCTACCAGCATTCTTGGTGGAAAATCGGCCTCATTTTCTAGTTGTAGTTTTGCAAGCAATGGCTAGACTTAGCTTTCTTGACAAATAAATGATTTATAACAGACTGTTTAGATCAGAAACATCTGGCTAGCTGTTTAGAGCATCTTCTTGAATGGGACATTACTTGAGTTTCAGGTTCCCTTGCCTGAGAAACCAACCTCAGAAGACCCAACAGAACTTCAGCAGTGGAGATGGAGCGTGAGGAAAGCTAAAAAGATAAACCGAGAGAGACATTCTCAACGCTGTGACACTGAACTTAAACTTTCAGTGAGTTCCTCTATGCTCCCTTTTAATTGTTTGCTATGATAAAAAATACTGAGCATCGATCTACTTGAAACAGGTTGCTCAAAGACTGAAAGAGGAGGATGGCTTCTATTATCCTCACAATCTAGACTTCCGTGGTCGAGCATATCCAATGCATCCACATTTGACTCATCTGAGTTCTGACCTTTGTCGAGGAGTTCTTGAATTTGCTGAAGGAAGGCCATTGGGGAAGTCTGGGTTAAGTTGGCTAAAAGTCCATTTAGCAAACCTATATGGAGGTGGAGTTGAAAAGATGCCTCATGATGCGCGCCTGGGGTTTGTTGAGAATCATCTGGCTGATATATTTGATTCAGCACAGAACCCTGTTGATGGAAAGCGCTGGTGGTTAACCGCTGAAGACCCTTTCCAGTGCTTAGCTGCTTGTATTAATCTGTCTGAAGCTTTAATGAGTGAATCACCTCATTCGACAATTTCATACCTGCCAATTCACCAGGTAGATCCTGCATTGAAACCTGAAACAAGTTTGCAATATCTTGGGTTTCAAGCTCTTACAATGTGTGTAGTATTTAGACTTCTTTGTCGTGATGTTCCTGGATTCGTTAATTTTCTAGTAACCAATTTATTGCAATTTTTCTGAAGGAATTTTTCAACGACTTTATCAAAAAAATGGAAAAGAAAGTGACTTAATGCCGAACCAGCTAAAAAAAGAAAGTTCGCGTTTTTTGTCCTTGTTACAAATTGTACTATGAAGTTCATTTGTTTGTTTGTTTATTTTTCCAGGATGGCTCATGTAATGGCTTACAGCACTACGCAGCTTTGGGAAGAGACACTGTATGTTTCCTGTTGCTGGTTATCTCCTGCATTTATTCTATTGATGATCATGTAGAAATCAAGTTATTTTCTCTCATCATGAATCTGTATTATATATGCCTTCTGGATGTACTACATTCTCTGCATCTGCATATGCTCTCTGGCCCAATAATTTACTATTTTCATTTCCCCTTCTTTTCCAGCTGGAAGCAACAGCAGTTAACTTAGTAGCTGGAGAGAAACCAGCAGATGTTTATTCTGAGATTGCTGTTAGGTATTACCGATTTCACCATGCCTAAAGTTAATGCCTTTCCATTGAAAACAACACTGGCTTAGTTTTTTTCCAGAAATATGAACTGAACAATTGCTACTGTAGGGTCCATGAAATAATGGAAAGAGACAGCACTAG